TCGCGTTCATAATCACAGGTGATTTAATCGCGCGATTATGAAATTGAAGAAATTATTCTGCGATTATGAAAGCCGTTTACCACATTTATCACATTTGATAACATGTTTTTACTCCAAACTCACTTCATAACGTCAGTGGAGTGTTTGAAATAAATCCTTCTGTGAGATGATGTAAAAATTATAATAAGACGAACTCTGATAAACCATATATTGTCGTAGTTGTGTGTTTATTAGTCACGTTGAATTAATGAAAGCAGTTAAATCTTCTGTTTATTCAGCAACCGCTATAGGGATTTCCTGGGTTTCTTCAGCGAGGTGTATTTGGAGTTTCAGCGTGAGAGCACCCTCTGGCCTTCGGATGGAGATTTACTGCTGTTCACAGAACCGTGCTTCACTAAAAGATACGCATAACAATCTCAGCTTCTGCCTAATCGCAAATTATCTCCTTTGCGATTTAATTTTGATTAATCGTGCAGCCTTATCAGTACTACTGATGAAGTGATTCTGGATAAGTATAGACATTGCAGCTATTTAAGTGGCCTGTTTGTATAATGCTTTGTGTCTGATGCATTGCAGGATCTGTTAAAGGCATGCCAGGAGCAGATTGAAAGAGTGTTGATGAATAACCTGAGGGAGGGCCGCCGGCAGCAGCAGAAACAGCAGCAGCAGGAACAGGGTGGCCCGCGCGGCAAAGCACTTGATGACCAAGACCAGTCCAGCACCCCAACCGATGTACGAGACATCAACTTGTGAGCTTGCTGCAGGAACGCTGTGATCAGTCTTCAAGAAAAAAAAAGAAAAAAACAACAAAAAACAAAAATGACAAAAAAACAAACAACCCCAACAAAAAGTGCTTGCTAGTCTTTGTAGAGTTTTATCTTCATTTTCAAGTAAAAATTGCTCCCATAAATGGAAAAAAATTAATAAAAAGCAATTTTAGATACAAAAAATAGATATTTTTTAAAATGATTTGATACTGATGCAAAAAGCTCTACGGTGCCTCAGACTCTTAGAAGGGAAGCGTGTAGTATTTTGCAAACTCTTTTGATTGTGTAAACATAATATAATATTTAATGCAAAAGTGTTAGTGTAAAGGGCTTTTCAAAATAGAGTCTACTGTATCAGACTGGCTTGAAAGGGTACAAAAAGTGGGGCTATGTTTTTTTTCCTGTTTTGTTGTGATTTATTATTTTATTTTTTGAATTTTTGGTTCATGTTGGAATGCCTGAACTTGAACACACAATGAGGTGCCATAAGTATGAATGGACGCACCCATTCACTTGGTTGTGCATTAGGACCAGAAATAGGGATTTAAAAAGGAGTGGTGAGACACAAGTCTTATGCTAAGAATGCAGTGCTCTTTTGCTAGGGCAACAGGGGCTTATATCTTGAGAATAGACTATTAATATTATTTTTATTATGATTATTATTATTATTTCTGTTAAACAAGCAAGTTATTGTCTCTCAATGCTAAAGTTACAGACACTTCAAATAAGCTTTTGTCAAGCTGCTTGTGTGCATGCATTTATGTGTGGTGTATGTTGGCTCATGTGCAAGAGTGTACAAGTTACTCTATATCAAGCACTCATGTGTGAGTCATGTGGGCTTTGTTTATCTTGATTATCATCTATCTGCAAGTGTTTGGTTATAGAAACTGGTTCAGTGGTGGGCACATGGTCAAAGGACTGGGCAGGGGATAGTACATGATTCCACAATGCTTGGAGGGCCTCCTGTATCAGTGCCTTATATTAAATCCTTTTTTTACTGGCCTGGAAACTGCTTGAGGGCTGAGCCCAACCCAGTGCACAGAACAAGAGGTGGCAAGAACAGGGAGCCGACAGAGACAACTACGCTCCCTTTAAGTTGTTTTTAAAATATGTGGGTAAGGTTGTCCTTCATGGCAACCTCCCACTAAATATTACAGATGTATTGTATACAGACAGTTTATTACGTTATTACGTATTTTGTTGTGAGCATGTTGAAGGAGCCTTAGGCTGATTTATGGTTGGTCCTATGAGGGACCGAAAAATGAGTTGTTTGCAAACAAATGTGTGCTAATGCTGTTAGCAGTAAAGGAATGTGTAGGCAAGAATGATCGAGGATGATGACGATGAAACTTTGGTTGGTTTGAGGTGTGAAGCATGCTGCTGAGATGAGGATGCTTATATGGAGTTAGGAGAAGCAGGAAAGGAGGCCAAATGAGAAACAACAGCTATGGTTTCCATATATCACCTGATATTTAAGATCTTTAATCTATTTGTCTGTTTATTTGTTTGTCCTTTTAGTTTTTATGTCTCATGTTTGAATTACAGACCAGTATCTAAACCAGTTCCATTGATACCGCTAGAGAAAAACTGGGGAAGGTTAGTACTTCGGTTTCAGTTCAGAGAGCATGTTTGCCATGGATAACAAATGGTTAAGGTTAAGGAGTCTTTTTATTTTATTTTTTTTTTTTTTGAGTTTATATTTATAAATAAATGGTAATTTAGTTCATGGCATGTTCAGTTCATTATAGCGTTAAAGCATTGGAAACCAATGTATAACAAGCAACAACAATGAAATAATATTATTAATGCAAATTTAAATTTTTTTTTTAAATAAATAAATAAAAAAAGACCAAAAAACAGACAACAAAAAACAGAATGAAATAGAAGAAAAAATGTTTGTCAATTTGCACGCTCCAAGGGCAGTTTTCAATTTGAAAAGACTTGTACACCTGCAACATTGCAGAAAAAATGTTATGTAGTGCCTTGAGTCTGATGTAGACTTTCACCCTGTTTTGCTAAGCTTAAGCATAAGACCCACTACCCAGCCATCCAAAATATGCTGCTTCCAAAGGTTGAACTGGCATGGGGTTTGAAAACTTCCACAAGTCATTACACAGTGGCTAAAACAGGGTGCATCAGCAGCACAAAACAGCTTTCATATGCTGATCTCTCATAGCTTACCTTGAAAAGGGGCAGTCAAGCTTAGGTTTGTGTCCGTCTATGTATGCGTGTATGTTTGTGTGCATGTCTTTCTGTGGGTAAAGGAGATGTTTACGTGTACTCATGCGTTTCCTTTCTCCAGAAACAGTTCTTAGTGATGCTTGAGTTTCACAAGTCACATTTCTTCCATCCTCCATCACACCAAAACCCCCGGTCAATCTTATTGTATTAAGTTAACCTGTCTTATTACTTTTCTGGCTCTGTTCTGAAAATAAATTACAGTACTGTTAAATAGATTGTATGGGTGGCTAAGTGGTTTGAGTTTGAATATGGACCGAAGTTGCGTTCCTTAAGGGGTATGATACTGTATTCCAAAGTGATGAGAGATGGAAAGAGTGTGAAGACATCAATCAAGTGTCAATATTGTTGAGTTATTATTGTTTTTTCCGCTGCTAAAAAGCTATGATTTTTTTGTTTTGTTTCATCTTATACACAAAAATAACATTACATAGTTGTGATGTCACATCAGTGTGCTGCTATTTTATAAACAATTGTATTAATTATTTTACTGCTTACAGAATACTTTGAGAATACAGAAGTAAAGGGTAAAAGAAGAACATGAATGGAGTATTCGACTGGAAATGCTCTTTGTACAGTATGCTCTTATTAAGGCATGTTTCTTTACCTTTTAATCTTTTTTCCTCCTCTTCTTTCTCCGTCACATTCTGTAAGTGTGGTATCTCTATACCTCAGGTTTACTGGACATAAAATACTTTCCCATTACCTCGCACAATTCACAACAGTTTTTTCGGGAACCTGGAAAAGGCAGCGCAAATAAGAGGTTATGATATTTCTGCTGAGTCCGAAGTAGTAAATTAAGTGGAATTGAATTTCCAAAGTAGATGAATAGCAAGCTTACAAGGCTCCCACCTGGACTTCAGAAATAGTAGACAGAGGAGGTGATGAACGTTTGACTGTGTCTTATGTACACGGCCCATATCAGTGGAAATAAACCTGTAAATATCAAAAAAGCAACAACATTGAGAAAAGCCCTCCTCCCTCCACTATAACCACATCATGTACCTCAGTTACGTCTGTTGCACAACCTCTGTTCAATAAATCTGCTTTAAAGAGTGTGGTGCTATGTTGGTCCTATGTTATTGTTCCCTTTTATTGGCAAAGTTAACAGTGAAAATAACAATGGGAATATATCCAGCATGTTATGACCTGATAAAGAATGACTGTAAAGACAGTGTTGATAACCAGACACAGGCCAGATGGAAAATGACACATTTCAAAAATAAAGCAGAGGTTGAACTTTTCTGTTCAACAATGCTTCCTTCCAGAATTATCCGCTAAATAATTACAACTAAATCAGATTGTCACAGCTGATTTTAAGGAGATGAACTCATTAGGGCTTGGCAACTCTGAGGATATTCTTTGGATTTCTGTTGAACTCAAATCATTTGTCATTGAGAGCATGAATGAAGTTAAAGGAGAGGACATGCTGTATGCTAAGGTCAATAAACTTACCATGAAAGAAGTATTCGTCTCCTGTTATCTTTATTTTAGTACGTACATTGGTGAAAATTGATATAATTCGACGTCTTATGTTTACAACTGAGGAATAGGCCTAGTTAGTGAGCGATTAAAATATAACATAAAAAAATAATGTACCTATTTGTCGAGTTAAAGTAATACCGATGATATACAGTTTAAAATAAAACGACAAATGAAAATTAAATGACAGACTCTGACTAGACCTTATACAAGTTAAAATCCCGCCACGCCAATGAAGTGCAAACATCTAGGTCAGGATGAGCTATGACTGATTCGTGAACGAATCATTCTTTTGAGTCGGATCTTTTCAAGGAATCGGTTGAGCTGGAGCGTACAACCAGTCTGAATGATTTAAATAATTTAGTAGATTTAGCATAGGATAAATTAAATTACAAAAAGGATCCTTATAAATAAAGCAAACAAAAAGCCTACATGTAGTTTTAGAGCTTAATGGGACTGCGTAATGACTTTAATAGGTTTTGACAAAAAGAATGTCTGTTTTTGAACAGTTCAAAAGAACCGATTTGTGAAATTGAATCGAACCTACCAGCCATGCGTACTAACTTCCGGCTAATAATGTACAGAGATAGCGCTGTCGGTGCTTTCACCTCAAAGTAGCAAATATTAGGCGCCTGTTTTAAAAACGCAAGAGGCGTGACAGTTTGTGATTGACTCTGGGCGCAAAGGATGAACATCATATAACCTCACGACGCTATTAACGGCATCTTTATAGCTGCACCAATGCTCGCTTTTGGTTTAACGATAGTCCGACAGTAAGTTGCTTTTTTTTTTGTTCTCATTCATAGCTATTCTACATAGCCAGCTGAAAATCACTGCATTATACATTCAGTAACGGTAAATAAAAATGATCTAAGAGAATAGCTTTAATCATGTTACATCAGTTTTAATTGTAGATAGGTACGTTGTCTGGCATTTAGTAACAGTTACAGTTACAGTTTAAATATACTCGTAGGTCTTTAGTTTAACGTTTACTGGGCTCCTCATATCATATTACTCCTGTCTGCTGTAGCTAATGCTTAAAGGTCAGTACGAATCTCTCTTCCAATGAAAGGTCAAAAGCAAATTTGATGTAACTTGTGGTCTACTCTATTAAACAAAACAAAAATATGTTCTAGCGTTACTGTCATGTAAGACCGATATGGGCAGAGTCTGCTGTCTTTACGTAGAATGCCTTGTTTTGTTTTGTTTTTGTTTTTTTTAACTACATGTCTTTTTACAAAAGACCCATTAAGTTACAGTTATATTGATCATACCGTTTTGCTTTACCAGTGGTGAGACGCAGTGCAACAAAGATGGCCTTTTGCAAGGTAATTTTAAAAATTACAAGGAAAAAACACATTATCTGTTATCCCTAACTATCAGTACCCCTTCCTTTATTCCATTAGCCTATTAATTATAAGCATTCATTATTGGCATTTTTACTGTATCTGAGCAAATGCTCTTCTAACCACAAACTATATATATCATTTCAAACTATATCTATCTATCTATCTATCTATCTTTTATTATTTTTTTTTATTTTTTTTTGCTTTAGGTCAAAAAATTGACTCTCCGCTTTCTGAAATTGGGATACAGCAGTCTGAGGCTGCTGGTCAGTACCTCAGGGATGTAAAATTCACAAATGTGTTTATCAGTAACATGAAACGTGCCAAGCAGATAAGCAGAAACACACTAGAAGTCATACAATCTGGCCACAGGTAGAGGAAGATGTTTCTCCACAAATTTGACAAAATAACCCAAATCAAATCCAGATCAAATGAGATGTAAATGCATGTTTCCTTTGAATAAGATTCGATAAGCATTAAAGTGAGTAGTTTTGAGTATTAATAAATATATTTAATGTGTTACAGAAACGATCAATAATACTCATCATACCGGTATGTTTGGAGTCAGACAATTTCTGTTATAAGATATTGTTATAAGGTTGCACAAGCCCTTCTTGTAACAAGGACTACTTTCTTTGTGTATTTGTTTGCACAGTGTATTTGTTGACACTTTTATTATTTGAATATCACGTCTTTGTAAAATTACAGACTGCAGAGATCATCGTGAGGAACAACAGAACCTGTCATGATATAGAACTAGTAGCAGATCCATCACTTAAAGAGAGAGTAAGTACAGACTACCACTTGATAAAATAAGAAAAATGTCCGCTCAAAGTCTGTCCTTTCTGAGCAACTTTTCATATGCATCTCGAACCTATTTCTTTTCTCCAGAGTTTTGGTATAGCTGAGGGAGGTCGAGTCATAGAAATGAAAAATATGGCTAAAGCAGCCGGACAACCTTTACCAGAGTTCACGCCACTTGAGGGAGAGACCATGGAGCAGGTAAAATCACTTTTTTTATGATGAAAGAAACTAAATGGCAACACTTGCTGCATCCAATTATGAAAAATGCTGCAATGCAACAAAGTACATCCAGATTCAGTGATCGTGTCACATCCCTTCTACCAAGTTACCTTAGTTGTAGATGTATCCTTCGCAGTCTGTGATATCCAACTATCCTGTGTGTTTAATTTCATGACACTTGGTAGTATTGTTCTGTAACAATACTAAAGTTGACATGTATTTCCTGGCTGAATTTTTCATTGCATGTTTTAATAATGCTATTTGAATATATTTTTACAGTATATAGAAAGCCTTTTTGTTTAGTTTTTTTCAGGTAAAAGTGCGAATCAAGGATTTTCTCAAGGCTATGTTCCATCGAATAGCTAATGAATATCAAGACAAAATACAAGATGGTGAAACATCCCTACCAGATGAAACCGATAGGGCTCCAGCAGGACTTCCAGATGATGGAGTCTTGAATGTACCTGTCCATGCCTTGGTGGTTGGCCATGGGGCTTATATGAGCATAGCTATGAAGTATTTCTTTGAGGACCTGAAGTGCCCCATGCCCCGTGGTTTAGACCCTTCTCAGAGGTATTCCATCTGCCCCAACACCGGAATGTACCGATTTCTTATCACTTTGAAATGTAGTAATGCAGATCCTGCACTTTCAGATGTGAAATGTGTGTTCATCAATAGAAGAGATCACATCAAGGCTTAGAATTAGATTAAGAACAACAGTTTTAAAATTTAAAAGGAAAAATGTAAGAAATGAACAGTTTACGTGTGTTATGCAAAAAAATAAGTCATATTGTATTCAAGCACTTTGACCAGATTACAAAATTTTGTGATAGACAAACTTTTGGAAAGACAATATTTAAAAATATATATCTGAAGGACTTCAGTTATATATACAGTATCTCACAGAAGTGAGTACACCCCTCACATTTTTGTAAATATTTTATTATATCTTTTCATGTGACAGCACTGAAGAAATGACACTGTGTCATGTGACTCATTAGTTGTTACAAGGTCTCAGGTGTGAATGGGGAGGAGGTGTGTTAAATTTGGTGTTATCGCTCTCATACTGGTCACAGGAAGTTCAACATGGCACCTCATGGCAAAGAACTGTGAGGATCTGAAAAAAAATAATTGTTGCTCTACATAAAGATGGCGTAGGCTATAAGAAGATTGCCAAGACCCTGAAACTGAGCTGCAGCACAGTGGCCAAGACCATACAGCGGTTTAACAGGACAGGTTCCACTCAGAACAGGCCTCGCCGTGGTCGACCAAAGAAGTTGAGTGCACGTGCTCAGCATCATATCTAGAGGTTGTGTTTGGGAAATAGACATATGAGTGCTGCTAGCATTGCTGCAGAGGTTGAAGGGGTGGGGGGGTCAGCCTGTCAGTACTCAGACCATCTAACATCCACCAGTTCTGTGACGTCGTCATGGAGGAGTGGAAGAGGACTCCAGTGGCAAACTGTGAAGCTCTGGTGAACTCCATGTCCAAGAGGGTTAAGGCAGTGCTGGAAAATAATGGTGGCCACACAAAATATTGACACTTTGGGCCCAATTTGGACATTTTCATTTAGGGATGTACTCACTTTTGTGGCCAGCGGTTTAGACATTATTGGCTGTGTGTAGAGTTATTTTGAGGGGACAGCAAATGTACACTGTTATATAAGCTGTACACTCACTACTTTACATTGTAGCAAAGTGTAATTTCTTCAGTTTTGTCACATGAAAAGATATAATAAAATATTTACAAAAATGTGAGGGTGTACTTCTGTGAGATACTGTACATATAACTTATGAGTCCTATATTATGTTATATGTGTGCTTACCATTTAGACACTGGCAGTATTAAATATTGACTCTTAAAACTATTTAATATTCTGTAAAGTAGTGTTTGTGTAAGTTATTGATTTCATTTTAAATGCTATAAAAGTATCAATTTTAACTAAATAAATATATCCTCCGTCTATGTTCTTACATATTTTCCCCTCATTAGAATCACTGCAGTTTCTCTAATATTATGCAATGCTTTCTTACTTGTTTTCTTGTATCTTTGTAACAATTTCCAGTCATTTATGTGAACTTTTGTTTTCATCTTTGAATCATGACTATAATAACCTGCCCTAAATTAATGCTGATCCTGAAACTGATATGCAAGAACAGAATATTTTTATATATGCATTTGTGCCTCATATTTACATAATAGTTGCAGAGTGTCCTGACATGTACTTCAACAGCACAGAACAGTCAATATTGAAGATATTCAGCTACTCTGACCTCATTTTAAGGTGTTTGTTGAGGGAATGTTTGAATTAATTTATTTCTGCAAGCTCATGCACCCAAATTGTATCCTTGAACAATCTGTTAATGAAAGAAAGGATATATTGTTGGTTTCAAAATTACATAATCACTAAAAACAAACATCAACAAATCCAACTGATATCGCTCCAATGCAAATGGCAACATCAGAATTAAATAGATTGTCAGTATCTTTATCTTGCTATTTGCTGTCATAGTACTTGATTCTAATCATCATCAAGCATTAATGTAAAAAATCAGATTTCAGAAAACTAAAATATTACATCACAACAACAATTTAATCATATAATACATCTATGATGGTTTTTATATAATGCGCTGGGAAAATTCTGAATGCCTACATTTATAAGATTTAATGGGAAACTCATTAAGAAGGATGGGAAGCTAAGAAAAAAATATTTTACAATTCTTTTATTGTTTGAACGCATTCATTTTATTTTTTATAATTTTTTAATATATATATATATATATATATATTACATTGATACATTTCTGAGGTAATATTTTAATTAAAGACATCAATATAAAATATAATAAATAAAAATATATCAGTACTTTTTAATAAATAATTCAGTAGAGGTGGCCAGCACCATCTCATACATGTTAGAAACTATGACATTTCTACTTAGTATTTCATGATATTACCTACATCAGTCGATTGAAAAGATTCTTGCACAGTTCTTATGAAAACAATGTCATTGCCGCAGCATTGCAAGGTAGTTTAAATTTTAACTGACTTGAAAAGGTGAAAGGACTGACAAACAGTGACCTAAACTAGCCTCAACACCAACTGAGGTCCTGAGGCCCTAGATTGCATCATATACAGTTCTTGGTGATATGTTTCCTCGAAACCATTTGGTTTCTTAACGTGATGTTATAAGTTCTTTAGGTCAGTGTATTGGTTTTAGGAATCATCCAAAAAAAAAAAAAAGTCCTCCTGGGTGGTTCACAGATGGTTTTCTTTAGTGCAAGGCTTATAAAATTGTTAATGAACTTTTATTTTTAGAAGGTCAGTAATTCAGAATGGATCAGATGGTGCAACTTGCTTGTGTTTCTTCTGTTTTTGTAAATTAGGACTGACAGGGCTCTTGGAGAGCAGTACGTGTAAAGGGTCGTCATAGGACGTGATGGTTTCTTTAGAAACGTTACTGCTGCGCTCGTGCTCATGCTCTCGATTTGGTCTTCGATAATTAGCAGTCCTTGACCTCGGATTCTCAGATCCCAAGGGATCAGATGGGTCAATATACTGGCTTCTTCTCTGTCTGTGATGTGTTTTTTGGTTGTTAGACTGCAGAGAATGATGTAATTCTGTACTATAAGCCTCGGTGTGACTTTTACCTCCAACAAGCTTGATCATTGCATCACTCCTCCATGGGCACAAAGCATGATGGTAATTCTTTCCGTGAATTGTTTTAAAGCAGTCCTTATTAATGCCATCAACCTGAGGACAATAATGTTTTATTAAAGCTTTTTTAAATTATTAAATCCTTTTAGCTATAATAATTATATATATATATATATATATATATTAATCCATAATGTAGTAATTAGAATTGCAAAAGTCTTTAAAACATAAAATCATATATTGTTTACAATATTGATAAAGATAACTAATACTCACTGAAATATGTGTGTTTTTAGTTCTATCCAAGCACATTATATTATTTGTTTTAATATGAAGTAGTAAGAAGCAGTCCTTGCTTCTTTTCTTCAGTAAAGCAGCTCCTTTATTAATTAAAAGAGCACCAATAATGTTATTAACAGTCAAAATATGTAGAAATGTGCCCGTTTATGTATAAAAAAAACAACTTACCTTTGGACTCTCGAGAAATGGCTTTCCTCATTCTTTTACTAAATGTCATCATCAGGAAATATCCGTATGTACTGATCATGGTCTCTATATTGCTCAGATTTTCTCTTGTTAAATCTGTTCGGATTGTTTCCTTTTGTATAGGATGACAAGTTATTAGTGCTGAGGTGCTTAGAGCAGCCAGACAGAGAAGAGGGACTGTGTGCATGATCAGACTGAATCAGGCAAGAGCTCAGGATACAATGAAGCATCTCACTGCTAGTTTATATAATTGGGGGAAATTAGTTCAAAGGTCATGTTTGCAGACCAAGAACTTTAAAGTTGATCAGCTACAACTGGCAGTTGTAACCAGATGTCGGGTTCACCAGCTTTACATAAGTTTACCTAGTTTTGAAGGGACAAATTCTGAAGTTACAACTTTCGCTGCTAAATATTTTGCACCATTAGCCTAATTGTCATTGCTCACCTCTTTAATGATTTATTTTGTGCATAAGTGTTTATCTTTATTTTTATAGAAAAATATAGCCTATATTATGCTATTCATTTTCAATATAATTTTTTTTTACCGTTAATAACACAAGGAAAATTAAGTTAGATTCAAGGCTAAACTGAATTCAAGGCATTTCATCCCAACTTCTGCTCACGTAGGCCTATTTAAAGGCTGTAATTGGATTACTGAGAGCAAACGTCATAATTTGATTTGATAATTTCACAGATTTTACAACATAATTGAAGTTGGAAAAAAAATCTGAAATGGCTGTAGGACTCAGGTGTGTTGTCATTCATTCATTCATGCTGTTTTTAATTTATTTATTTCCATTTTGACCAATATCTTTATTGCTTATATATCTTATATTTAAGATATTTTATATTTTTAAGTAAATGCTACAGCCTTACAAGGTAAAAATGTAATGTATTTATTTGATTTATTGTTAATTTATTTGCTTTTCTTAGTCTGTGCATAAAAAAGGTATGTGAAATCAAACGTAAAAGAGACAGGATGGTAATTTTACGCAAAAACGTATGCATTTATGATTTTGACCACATGAGGGGGCGCTAACACAACTAATACTATCCATATTTTTTAACCCCCTGCTAACTAAATATTTCAAACCTGTTTCAGTAAAAACCAATTTAATTATGATTAAAGTATAATGCAAAAACACAGAGGCTAAAAAACAACCGTTTATTTTCATTTCAGTAATACAGTTGGCTGCTGTGCACAGCACATACGTATAAAAATAAAAGGAAACATTTTCTTAATATATTAGAATTCTTATTATTATTTTTTTTTTCAGAGAACAAAATGATTGGCAAAAAGTTTGTACGATTGAACAAATCGTACAATCATTTCAACAAATTGGAACTAAGGCAGAAGGTGAGGTATATGTTAGAAAATAGGAGGGGAATTTGGAGGGGGCGTCTGCCCCTCAGTGCAGGAATACAAAACTGAGAAAACACAAAGGCTGCATACGTACAAGGACACACACACATGCACAACCCCTTACAATCATCTCGCAAGCCACAAATGGGGCCATTTCAAAGCTGGAGACAAAGTACAGTACAAAGAATCCTGTTTCTGTATAAGCACTTAGTTTAGAGGGCTTAACTTCTAGATGCACATTTCTGTCCATCATTTTGCATTAAAAACCATGCAAAATTCTATTCATTTCATCTAAGTTTAAAGAGATCAGACATGTGATAAGAGGACAGGGTACAG